AAATTAGAACTCAGAATCACTTATTAATTTATTATACTACAAATGTATTACGTATGCCATTTTATTTAATATTAAAAAATAAAAGCCTTTGATCGAATATTAGAAATTTTATTCGTCAAATGAAAAACAAACGTAGTTTAACGGATCGAAATAAATTTAATGTACAAACAATTTACAAACCCCAAATTTTAAATATTGGGTGACATAATTTTAAATTTTGTTGGTACGACTGAAAAAATTCATATAATTAAACCAACTGAAAATAACCTGGGCGCAAGTTTGTTCAATTGAAAAATGTTTATGATATAATTTGTGCCACACAAGTAACAGACATGCTGGTCAAGACAAAACCTGGCAAAGGGGTTTTTTTTGGTTTTTAGTTTATTTTATAGTATACTTACTTTTTTTTTAATAACATAAAAAAGATTCTAAGAGATATTGTTCTATTCCACAAAAGATTTCTACAGAAAAATTAACTTGTTATGTACATGATGATGTAGATGTGTTCTACATGGTGAATGCAAAATCAATGAGATTTTTTTTTAGTTTTATGTAATTTTTAGCTATGAGAATTTTTATATACCTTCATTGTGCTTTATTTTTTATTTTTTTATGATTAATGAAGTATTTCGTTTTTAATATAACAGTAATTTACGCAAATGTTACATTTTATTAATTTTATATGTAAAATTTTGTGTAAATTTTTTATTGCTTATTTATTTATGCAAAAGGATATTTAAAATATAATTAATATTTTATTATTGGCCTTATTATTTTTAGAACCTGTGGTATAAATTTATATTGTCACCGATTAAGAAATAATGTATGTTGTTTCAAAATTTAAAATGATTTAGGTCAATTTGTAATTGACTTAAATTGTGAAATGACGCAGAACAAGGACAGGTATCAGCAATGATACAGATATTAATTTGGCGCACAACATATAAATCATGATAATTATATTTTACCCTATTTTATCTTAGGTTAACCGGATATCTTAAATAAATAAGTATGATTAGTAAATCATTAATTTTTAAATATATTCACGTGACGTTTAGCAGAGTTTGCCCACCCATTAAATAAAACATCAAAAAATCTTGTATACTATTAGTTATTATTTCAATAATCCAGTTTCTTTATCTGTAGTTTTAGTTTCTATTTTTCAAAAAAGTTATTGTGGTTTTAGCTTGACTTAAAGTCAATAATTCATGTAACTATTATCTAGCATTTAGGATTGTTTTAATAATTATCAGATCTATAAAAGTTAAAATATATGAAGTAAATTTAATTTCTATAGCACTAATATTATATTAGTGATTTGGAGTAACACATCTCGGATATTCTTTAGAATAATAGGGGCAGCAGATCATTTTCAATCTGGCTCCGAAGTCCAATAAAATTTAAAATTTTTTAAACCATTGAGTAAAGATCAATGACCGCCTAATTAAATTTAATGAAATTTTATTTATTTGGTTCACAAACCTTAGAATTCAAAAAAAAAATAATAATAATTGAATTTGGTTAGGTAGTCACTAAAGCTGGAAAAATTCAAAGCACCTATCAAAGTAGAAGCTACGAATTATTAAAACCAAGTGCAAATATATCTTAATGACCACCTGACCAAATAGTTAAAATTTTTTTATTTAAATTTTACAAATTCAAAAAATCAAATTAAAAAAAATTTTCATCAAATTTATTTAGGTGATTGCCAAAAAACCTTCGCTTAAAGCTGAAGAAAATTTAAAACAACTATCAAAATATAAATTGTCCCGAATTATTTTTAAAATTTGGGCGATATCTCAACGACCATCTAACCAAATTTGATTAAATTTTTTTTTATTTGAATTCTATATATTTATAGAATTCAAAAAAAAAAAATTATTGAATTTGATCAGGTGTTCATTGTTCAAAGTTGGAAAAAATTCAAACTGTCAAATTATAAATATTGTCGCAGCCAGTGTTTTGGCCTAAACTGAAACTTTTAGCTAGGCAAAACCTCCGAAACCTCTGAAACATAGATTTGCCAGAAGTCCAAATCCAAAACTTCTAAAACCTCTGAAACTGAGCGAAACTTCTGAAACTGGGCAAAACCTCCAAAATGGGCGAAACCTCCAAAATAGGTAAAACCTCCAAAACGGGCGAAACTTCAAATATTTCTGAAACAAATAGCCAATAAAATATAAAAATTTTTGGATCATAAGAAAAACATATACATAAATAAGTATAAAGTTATATTTGATACTAGACAAAACTAGACAAAACTGCTAAAACCTCTGAAATTGGGCAAAACTGCTGAAACCTCTGAAATTGGGCAAAACCTCTGAAATAAATTGGGCAAAACTGGCCAAAACCTCTAAATTTGGTGAACTTTCCAAAATATTCCAAGTAGAATATCAAAGAACATAAAATACGAGCAAGGTTAAGAAAAATATAGAGGAAAGGTCTGAAAATTCTGAAAAACAGAGAGTTTGGAAGGATGTTCAGAGGGTTTTGGAGGTTTTGCCCATTTCAGAGGTTTCACCCATTTCGGAAGTTTCACCCATTTTGGAGGTTTCAGATTTTGGGTGAAACCGAAACTCCAGGACCAAAACGTTTCGAACTTTGGGGGAGGTTTAAAACAAAACACTGGTTGCAGCTGAAGCTGGAAATTAGGAACCTTACCAAAATCTATTTATACTCTTTTATTATTAAAACTACCCCTAAACCATAACCTAACCCTAAAAAAACCCTAACAAAAGACCCTAAAGATTTTTGAAAATTTCATATTATGTAAAATAATTAAAATTTCCAGCTTCAGCCGTGACAATTATTTTTAAAACTTGAGTGAAGATATCTTGACGACCACCTGACCAAATTTGTTGTTTTTTTTTTATTTGAATTCTACAGATTTATAGAATTCAAATAAAAATATTCATCGAATTTTGTCTGATGATCACTGAGAAAAGCTTTAAAAAAATAATTCGAAGTTTTGAATTTTTTTCAACTTTGAGCGAAGAAATCTTGACGACCACCTGACCAAATTCGATGAATATTTTTTTATTTGAATTCTACTAATCTTCAGAATTCAAATAAAAAATCCATCAAACTTGGTCAGTTGGTCGTCGAGATATCTTCGCTCAAATTTTAAAAACAATTCGGTCCAACTTATATTTTGATAGTTTTGAATTTTCTCCAACTTTGAGCGAAGTTATCTTGGAACTACTTGATTAAATTCGATAGATTTTTTTTATTTATTTGAATTCTACGAATCTGTAGAAATTAAAATAAAAACTTCATCAAATTTGGTCAGGTGGTCGTTGAGATATCTTCGCTCAAAGTTTTAAAAATAATTCGGCGCAGCTTCTATTTACGTTTTTAAAATTTTTTAACTTTGAGAAAAGTTATCTCGGCGACCACCTGACAAATTTGGAGAAATTTTTTTATTTTAATCCTACAGATTCGTAGAATTCAAAAAAAAAAAAAAAAAAATTCATCGAATTTAGTCAAGTGGTCGTTGAGATATCTTTGCTCAACGTTTAAATTTCGGAGCCAGTTCGCTGCAGCCCGGAACCGGAAATTTTAGACTACACGCTGCCCTGGTTTGAGACCCCAAACGAGGGATTAAAACACATACGAATTAAAGAGATATAAGGGTGTAGCTTTAGTCTACGAAGGGAGGAACGGTTGTTAGAGCGATTGTTAATAGTATTTAGTATTATTGTAATAATTCGATGTATTGATTTATGTTAATAAAGAGAAACTCTATAACCTGTAATTATGTGTATTAGTTTATCAATTTAAATCCTTTAACCTTAATCATTATTTGTTCACGATCGAACCTAAATTGGTTCAAGACCCTGAAAGCTCTCTCACCGATCGCAACACCATATAAATCTTTGGCTGTTCATGTATTAAAATTTATATATCATTATTATTCGGATGTCCATAATATATAAATTCCTAATACATGGTTACTCGAAGGTTTACTACGGAATTCGGATTATCGTGAGTCAACCAGTAAAAGATCCAGATTTAATTACTACTCAGTAAAAAAACAAAGGATCAAGTTTAATATAAGGGATCCTACTCTAAATTCAATTGATTAATAATCAATTTTAATCAATTTTATTAGTGGGTCCCTTGTACTAAATTTGATCCAAATCGAATTTCAAAATATATATATATCATATGACTTATTTCAAATCCATGAAGCCGAGATTATTTATAGTGAATTTCTTCGTGAAAATAGTTTGTTAAATCAAGACAATGATTGTTATAATCTTGCTCATAAAAATTGTATTCTTATATTTCTGATCTAAGATTATTTATAAGAAAAATAAGCAAGATTCAATAATTATGGAGTTGCGCTCCCAAAATTTTGACTACACGAGCTGCTGATATTTATGGGTTTGGTGTTATTGTTCGTTATGGTAAAAATACCAACTAGGAGAAGGCCTCTTAATGAGTTGCCACCGGAATTTACATCAGAAACTCCTGATTGTTATGTCGAAACGACCTATTGCCAAAAACATTAATTTAGAAGTTTATCGATGGTATTGCATTATGTCAAACCTACAAAAGTTGCTGAAAAGCTTGACTTAAAAAATAAATTCTTATATTCTGATGAAGTAAACAAAAAATTGACAGCTATTTTATTAACTCATAAAACGTTATAAATACTAATGAAGTCGTCAATAGACATTAAATGCAAGGTAATATATTTTATATATAAATCTTTATGGCCGTTCTTTTATAACAAACCCTAACAAATTGATTTTGAATTGTTTGTAGCATAATATGGCAAACCTCTTGAGTGGTCCATTCCTGATGATAGTATCTTTTTGTATATTCCTTTTTTTATATGGTATATGAATTATTATACTAAGAATTTAATATACAGTATAAAGATATTTAGCATGATCCTAAAAAAGGCTTGCAATTTACTCTATTGCTCAATTTATTATTTGAAAATTGTTTATAAAGGTTTTCGTGAAGAAATTTAATATTAATGTACAGGTGTTTATAAATAATATATCTATCAAATAACCCATTTTTTCTTTTTATCATAGAACTTAAAATTTTTTTTTTTGTAAAAAATTAAATTTAAGAGCAATAAGCTATATCAAAAGGGTAATTTTACGAAATTTATGCAAGTTAAATGTCAGATTATTTAACAATTGAACTTGGGATTTTTTTCCATGCGAAAAAAAAGATTCCTGAGGAACTATTGCAACTTAAATAATGTAAGAATAATTTGACAAAGAATTGGTTTTATTTAAACATTATGTGATTAAGGTTTTGACAGAATTGATGTCAAATAATAGAAATTTATACCACGAATAAAATTAATACAAATAAAACAAATAAATATATAATGCAGTGATAAATGCTAACTTAATATATCATGATATAAAGCTAAAAAAATGCATTAAGATATTAAAAAAATTACTAGCGAATAAAGTTAATAAGGAAAGTATTTTCGGTCTAGTGTTCCGAGTTGGTAAAATTTTGCCAATCGATTAGTTACCAACTAATCGATTCTCGTATCATGTGATTAAATTTGTTTGCTAGCAAACAGATTAAAGAAATTAACACTGAATCGGGGGGATTTCTTGGAATTGAATTAATTGAAGAATTAGTCGATCAGTTGTTTTAAAATTTTTCTAGTCGATTAGTTGCCCTATAAGAAAAATGTACTGTAATTGTATGGGTTGGCTCGGAATGGCGCGGGTTTCGGTGGCACGGATCAAACCCGGGTTTTGTACGTATTAGGCTCGAAGTGGCACGGATTTTTGGCTCGTGTCGGCCCGTATACCAGTGCCAATTGGACCGTTAATGACTCGGGGTTTGTAACACTTTACTAGTCCAATTGGTACGGGTTTTGGTACGGACGTACGTAAATTCACGTACCGCCGTAAAAACATAATTATAATACATATTTGAAAATTAAAGTAATTGCATATGTGCAAAATTCTGCAAGGAATATTTTTCGTTAAGATACCCAGAACAATTTAATCAGTGAAATTTTAGATATTGCATTTTCTTTTCATAAAAAAACACTTACTGATCCTTTGCTCTTGAGACACGTGCATATACATTTCATTCAATACGACCACTTTTCTGTAATGTCCGTGCCATTTTTAGCCGTACCATCACGTAAAATGAGCCTCTACGTGCCACACATCCGACCATTTCGTGCATTCCCGAAATCAACCCGGGCCACAACCTGGACCACTTTTCTCATAGGATCACTACCGACTAGTTCGCATTAGATTGAAAATAAATTAATTACTTTTTTCTGAAGTTCTTCAATTTTTCCGGTCAATTCATCATTTCGTTGTCTCAATTCATCATTTTGTCGAATCAATTCTTTTTTTAGCTGCTCCTCGAGTTTTTCACATTTATCTTTTACTTTACGATATTTACTTGTAGAAACGAACCCCATAACTTGAATAATTTTTTTTCAATGGTTTTTTTAAGAAAGAATGTAGGAAATGTTGAATAATATTTTATTTTAAAAAAATGTGGAATAATTTATTTTGTAATACAGTAAAATCTCTATAAGTGCATGCACTTGAGTCCAAGGTGCACTCGGAGATCAATAAGAGGGTGCACGCATGGAGGTTTTACTGTAGCTTATTTGTTGTCTTTTAAAAGAGTGTGCGAAAAATGAATAAAATTATTTGCTTCTCTCCTAATATTCGAGAATTTAAATTTTATTTATATCAATTCTCGGTGGTCGGAAGCTCAGTGAGCAAACTCCGCAAGGGTTATTTGCATTAATATTAAAATTAAATTATTATTAATGATCAATAGTGCGTAACCCAAAATTTTCGGAAATGGTCCATTAATGTGAAAATTAATTAGGGTCAATAGTATATGTAAATTGTATTCCGAGCTTGAGGATCACTAGCCAATTTTTTTCTTAGTAACTAGCAATGGATTCAATACTCCGCATGTACAGTACACCAAAAGATATTTATCAGATGTTCTCTAGAATAGGTGGACAATATAAGAAATAAACTTCGCCGATGATTAGTAAATCATTAATTTTTTAATATATTCACGTTATATTTGGCGGAGTTTAGCGGAGTTTGTCCGCCCATCCTATAGAACATCCAAAACTCTTTAGCATGAATAGTTGTTGTGTGGAAAAGATTTGCATTATTTCGATAATTCAAAAAAGTTAGTATGGTTTTAACTTGATTTAGAGTCAATAATTCATGTAATTATGAGGGTTATTTTAATAATTTTCAGATCTATAAAAATTGCTAATATCATATCAGTGATTCGGAGTAACATCCCAGATATTCTATAGAATAACCAGGGCAGCGTGTAGTTCAAAATTTTCGAAGTCTAATAAAATTTAAAATTTCTTAAACTATTGAACGAAGATATCTCAACGATCGCCTAATTAAATTCACTGAAATTTATTTATTTGATTCACGAATCTAGAATTCAAACAAAAAAAAAAAAATTCATTGAATTTGGTAAGGTGGTCGCTAAGGTATATTCACTCAAAGTTGGAAAAATTCAAAACGCCTATTATAACAGAAGCTACGGCGAATTATTTTTAAAACATTGAGCAATAAATCTTGACGACCACCTTACCAGATCTGATGAAATTTTTTTTATTTAAATTCCACAGATTCGTAGAATTCAAATAAAAAAAAATTTTCATTGAATTTATTTAGGTGATTGTCAAGATATCTTCGCTCAAAGTTGGAGAAAATTTAAAATATCTATCAAAATGTAAGTTACGCCGAATTGTTTTTAAAATTTGAGCGATATCTCAACACCATCTGACCAAATTTGATTAAATTTATTTTTTATTTGAATTCTAGAATTCAGATAAAAAAAAAATTATTGAATTTGGTCAGGTGTTCATCGAGATATCTTCGTTCAAAATTGGAAAAATTCAAAACGTCTATCAAAATAGAATTATTTAAAAATTGAGCGAAGATATCAAAGATTTCTAATTTTTAATTTAGATTGATCAAACGCCTTTCTTATGAAATTTTGTTTTTGTTAAGTTGATTAGCATATTGATTTTTCTTTTTCAAAATTTATAATTTTATGTAAGCTAGAAGTTATTGAGACACGAATTCAAAAAAAATAAAATAAAGATTTTAGAAGATTCTTAGTGTCACAGGTTATACTGGAACTCTCGTGTACTAGTGGGTCTTTACTATCGGTCTCTTCTCGCTTGGCTAATATCTTTGAAGACCGTGTATCGTACAGGTCCTTCCACCGATGTTGTATACACTCACACAGGTAATAGTTTTTCACTAAGTTTGTTTTTCACTAAGTTCAAAGCTTACAACTTCCAAAGCTTGGTTCTTTCCCTTTCGGGATCGATACCTTATATTAATTACTAATCGCTATTTGCGTCACTGATTATTACATATTATCTCATCGCTCATGCAATCAATGTTTTAAACTTTTAATTATTCCCATGCATACCCGAATCACGCCATTCATGCAAATCGGGATCATGACCCGATCATGATCCCTGACCTTGCGCTACGAATACCCGGGGCACCAACGTCGACCACGACACTTAGCACTCAAGAATCAAACCAATAAAATAAAGATGATAAGAACAATAGTCCAAAATTAAGTGAAAAGACAACATTTGTCTCTGCAAGACAATGACGATTAAATATTGTAGAAATGTTTAATAACTAAGAAAAAAATAAAATAGATATTTTTATATAATTTAATTTAAATATAAATTTGATGAGATTTCTACTGCACTTGAAGTTTATTATACGTATTCTGAAAATTTACTCGTATCATATATCTTGCTAGCATATATGTCTTGTGAATGTATCTGTTTAATTGGTTCTGATTTAACCTTATTAGCTTCTAAAATTTGTTTTTTGATTTCATTATCGTCTTCTTGATCCATTTCATCTAACCATTGAGTGATTATTTCAATGATTTCTGTTGCAGTAGGTCGTTTATCAAGTTCTTTATCCATACATTTTGTAACTAATTTAACATAACAATCTGGTCCTAAACATTTAGGTCTTGATCCACTGATAATTCTTGATACAAGCTCTCCGTTAAACGGAATTCCATCAAATGCTCTTTGTCCGGTCGAAATCTCTGCCGCGATAATTCCAAGACTGTAAATATCTGATGCTTGAGTATATGGTTGACCCACTAGAACCTCAGGTGCTATATATGGCAGGATTCCGCAAACTTTTCCTTCCTTTACTTTACTACAAAGCCCAAGGTCAGCAATATATGCACTATGCAAATAGTCTTGCAAAATATTTCCGCTGTGTAAATCTCTGTGAACGAGTTCCTGCGAATGAATTGATTCAAGATCCGATGCTATACCGCACAAGAGATTCAATTTATCTTTCCATTCCAATTGTGATACTTGTACAAGATTCTGTCGTAACGAACCTCTCACTGCAAGCTTCATAACAATAATATAATTACCATAGTTATTTTTTGATGCACCAATACATTCCAAGAACGAAGGATTCTTGTAACCAATTTCACAATAAGTCTTCAATTCTTGAATAAATTCTTGCACGTTTTCATTTGAATCATGTATCATTTTAAGTGCAACATTCCACCACTCACCATTAATTCTATCGAACCAACATGCCCAATATACAGTTGCGAACCCTCCTTTTCCCCATTCATTTATGTCTCTAAATTCATTATAATCAATCCAAAATAATTTAAATCTCTCATCATCTATTATTCTCCTAAGTTCAGGATTAATATTATCTGGTGATCTATTAGTTTCTAAAAGACTTCTATATTTTGTGAACCAATAATTTGCCTTTTGAATATCTCTCTTTGTACCGATACCGTTACGATAACATCGAGCAACATTACTCATTGCTACTTTATAACCTCTATTAGCAGATTTTTCATGATATTCAAATGCTTTATTAAAATCTTGATCAACCCCTCTTCCCTCTTGATAATAAAAACCAAGATTACATATACCAATAACATTATCCAAATAAGCAGATTTCTTAGTATATTCAAATGCTTTCTTATCATTTCTCTCTATCCCAATTCCATAATAATAACAGTTACTTACACTAATCATCGCATCTGAATTTCCTAACTCAACTGCTCTCATATAATATTCAAAGGCCTTCTTTTCGTCTTTCTTAACACCAATACCATATCGATAATCTTGCCCAAGATTGAAAAGTTGTTCGGAATCCATTTATTTATTTTTTTTTTAGAGGAAAAAAGGAATCATGTACTGTACGTACTAAGTACTGTAAATGCTAACTTTAATTGTTTAACGTTTTAGCAGAGTAATACAAAAGTTACAACAATAAGTTACATTTTTGATTAATTCATTGATTGACCTATATTGTTGTATCAAAAACGTAACTTTAAAAATTTTAATGTTTAGCCGCATGTGTATTTGTATTAAATTTGTATTTTGGTGTACAAAATCAAATTAGGTTACGAAGTCCATTTTTATAAATTTCATGAAGTCAATACGTATTGAAAATCCTTTTTTCTGACAAGACATAATTTAATATCACATTTTCCTGAAATATCATTTAATAGATAATAAAATTTCTCGATAGTTATTTTCAACTATAATTTTCCAAACATTAAAAAAAATGCATTTTGAAAACTTTATCGGTGTAATGTTCTGCCAGAGATATGCCTTGTCAGAAATGGTGTTATCAGTATAATAGGTTCAGAAAGATAATACTTCAAGAAAGTAGGTATTGAGAGATTGAGCAACTATCAGCTATGCCTTTATAAATGTATAGTTTTTAAATTTTGCCTATGGTCTCGATGGATACATTTAAAAGTTTTTCTGCAGTGTAAATAAAAAACAAGTTTAAATTAATAACGAATTTGGGATGTTCTATAGAACGGAGTTTATTTTTTATATTGCCCACCTATTCTATAGAACATCCCGAATTTGTAATAAATTGACATATAAATTAACAATGGATTTTAAGAAGAATTTGCAATAATTAGGCATTTAGAAATGTAGTTTCAAAATTATGATTAACTAGATGCTATTGCTATTTAAATAGTGAACTTTATTTTATACCAAACAGAAATAATTGAAAAGAATTATGTAAAAAAAAAACAACTCATATAAGGCCTATTACCTGGTTTATCTAATTAATAATTACATTATACAATGAAATAGTAATAAGATCCTAACAAATTAACCATTTGAAATTTTTTAAAGATAAATTTGTGCCTGATTTAAATTTTCCAGAATCTTGATTTAATTAGAAAAAGTTAAAATTATTACAATTTTTTTCAAAATTACCGTATAACTACTGCATATATTTTATTAAACCTATTTTTTTTATTAGTAAAAAATATTCTTACCAATTTTATATAATTTGTCTATTATGATTTTTATTTATAATTTTAATTTGTTTATAAATATTTTTGATTAGTTTGATAATAGCAGTCAGGGAT